ACCCCCCCCCCCCCCCCCCCACACACACACACACACACACACTCCGCAGAAAGCTCGCGCTGTCTTTCCCTTTGAGGACCCCCGCTGCACGTGCGCGCCTCCATTCGCTCCGTATCGGTTTTCCAGCATGTGGGAGAACAACAGCTAAAAGAGAGACGAGCCCAAAAAAAAGAAAAAAGGAAAAAACAAAAGAGCACCGTCCGGATGCCAACACAGCACCTGCCTCTGCAGCCTCTAAAGTCATGGGGGGGGGGGGTCTCCTCCCCCTCTTAGCCCCATCCCTTACCCCCCCCCAGCCTGATTAGGCGCTCACTCTCCTGGCCAACAGCCATCCTAACTTTTTGTTTTGTTTTTTTCCTTTCCTGGTGGCAGTCACAGTGACATACACATTCCAAAAAATACAAAAAACAGGATTCAAATAAAAGGGAACCAACTGCCTAATGGTAGTTTAGACAAGGCGAATCTGAGGAGGAGCCGAGTGTTGACATGTGACTGGTGGTGTTAGATCGGGCGTGCGAAAGTTGGAGGTAACTTAAGCCCGTTTCTTCACGAAACAGACGCCTTATTGTCAGTTGTTGTTTTTTTTTTACATTTACATTGAGGGGAAAACTCAATGTCCTCAGGTCTTTATCTCCTAGTCCATTTCTTCCGAGCAGTCTCAACAGTTCTCTAAAGCCCCGGAACATTTACTGTCCCAATTTTCTGTGGAATGAGTTGGTCTGGATTGTTCGAACGTGGGGATTAAAAAAAAGGACATAACTCAAAGGATGAGCCCGTTTACTGTCTAATCAAAATACCCATTGTTTGATTCTAGTCAAGGAAGGAGGAACTGGGGGGGTCTGGGGAACTGCACCGAGAACTACGAGAGTTTGTCAAAGAGAGTTTGGGCTAATAAAATGTCGAGTCGGAGCTTATTAGAAAAGCGCCGACTCTGGTTTTAGTGGTGACGCTGTCATTTCCACTTAAGTTCCTCCTAAACTCAGAAAGAACTGAAGGACAGCTCGGAACAAACAACAACAACAAAAAAAAACGGGACAGGATCTCTGCCAAAACATCAAAGGCTCAAATGTGTTGTTGTTTTTTGTGTGTCTTTACCCCCCCTCCCATCCAATGTTGATATTTCCTTAAAGCATGGAAGGGAAAACACAACCACATCAGTGAATAATACATGAGCATTAATCATGCAGAGCTATTTTCACGTAGGGAAAGCTCACAGGCAGAAAAAAAAAAAAAGAAGCCCCCGTGCCAAGGTTCAAATCCCTGTCATCCCTCTCCCTTTAGCAAGGATCAATGCAACGCGGTCACATACTCGCACCTAGGAGGCGAGCTTTATTAATTGAGTAGGAGGTGGACCCCTGTTGTCACTTTGGGACAGGAGAGGTTAAAGGTTTTGTGGGACAGGGAAGGTGGGCACAACAGGATTGTATTCCATGTTTCTATATTTCTTCTTCTACTGGTTTTCCTTTCCGTTTCTCCCTTTTTTATTGTCTCTCTCGCTGTCAAATGCACCTTCAAGAGAGGGGAGATTTAAATCCGAGGTGGCCGAAGTGGTGCAGTGCCCATGACTCACCTCATCTGGGGCTGAGCAGGGGGGGTGTAGACCTCAGAGAACTACTACTTAAAAAACAAATCTGAACCATAAGCCAACACATGGACATAAAACTCACTGTCAGACCTCACTATGGCCATTAAAAGAAAACCCAAAATCCTAACGAGGGGCCGGTCTTTGGTCGAGAAAATAAATTGTCCACATGGGTATAAAACGATATGAGGGAGAGGCAGTCAGTGCTGAGTGTGATCTCATAAAGAGCCGTTCAGGGATGAAACGTGCTTCAAACAAAGCTGTAACCTGGATGAGGATGAGAGGTGTGCTTTACCAATCAACTAATCTCCTTGGAAATATAATCAGAAGTCACTCGCTTAGAGTTTGTGCAGGATATTCTTATCAAATTAGAGAAGTCTACGGTGGTTAGTCCATTGAGTTTTAACAAATAAATTAATAAATCAGGGAAAAAGGAGGGAGAGGGGAAAACAGCAACGACTAAGAGCAGAGCTCATCATTCCTCCGGTCAATTCACAGTTAACGCGCGGAATTAGTTCAGCTATCATCATCTTCAGCTTGTTTTCAAATATTTTTCCAACACCATATAGGTGCCAAACGTCACATCATCTCCCCCCACACCCGCCCACCGGGTTTTTTTTTTTCGATTTTTTCACGTGCCGGGGATCCTAAGAACTGAGCTGAGTGGCCAAAATCACCATCTGAATCCCATTGAGGCTCGTGTGTGTTTGAAGAGGGGATGACTGATCTGCTGCTGAGGGGAGAGAACCGCATGGTTCGTTCATTCAAAGCGAGGAAGGGGTGTGTGTGTGTGTGTGGGTGAGGTGGGGAGGGAGGGGGCTGCTGCTCGCTGGAGAAACTTCATAGATGATCAGAAGCGTTAGGGAGTGAGAGTGGGCTGATGTGCAATTCAGAATTCAGCTCCGCGCCCGGGAAGACGTCACCAGCAGAGAGAGGAGAGGAGAGGAAGAGGGCTCGTGCTCACGAGCAGAGGATGAGAGGATTTGGGAGACACAGTTTTACAATGAAATTGTACACAGATACGGTTCATTAATGGTGAATGGACGATAAATTGAAAAAAACAAACAAACAAAAAAATGCAAATAGACATGAAAGTAAATAATTCGAAATCCCTGTTTTTATATTTCACGTGCTCGGGCGGAACCTATGCTGAAAATGACTTTTTAACTACGATACAATTTTTCTATCACGTTATTTGGGACTGAACATGTAAAAAGAACAAATATTACAGTTATTTTTTTCGCGACGTGCGTAAACCCAAACCGAGGCTCGAACCCGCGCCACACGCTCAGCGCGAACCCGTCAGAGAGACCGATTCCACAAAGCCCGGCCGGTGCCGAACAGCGCGCGCCGGGAGAAAAAAAGCTCGCGGGGGCCGGGGAGGGACGCAGAGCTCCGCAGCACCTGCGCGGGGACAAGCTCTGGAACCTGCGAGCTTCCCACAGAACCGCGAAACGGCCAAAGCTCCTACCTGTCTGACTCACATCTATGAGGAAGTGAAATTGCTTCTTTATGTTCCAAACGCGTTAATTAAAACAGCCATGAATAATAAAAAGAAGAAGAAGAAAAAGAAGTAGTATTAGTAGTAGTAGAAGAAGAAAAATCCCTCTTACCTAAAGTATTCCGTTTTGACAGATAACCAGATTTCACACTCCAGATGCCAACGAGCTTTCACGAGAAAAAAAACCCAACCTTAATTCTCCTTAAAACTTCACACAAAAAATCCACACTTTAATATCCGGACCAGTTTCGGCGACAAGCGAAAAACTGTCAGAAATCCTCCGCACGAGCTCACGGCACGAGCCTCCGACTTGGGGGCTCGTGCGCTAAGAAATCCAACTTCTTCCACTAAATCCCGCTGCGCTGTCCACTCAGTCCAAAGTGTCCGAGCCTCGAACACGCGCTCATCCTGTCCCGCGCGGAGCGGAGCGCGAGGCGGCGTGGATGACGGGTCGCGGTGAACGTGACTCCCCGTTTTTCGCCTCTCCGGAGAACGAAGGCTTGTTGTGTTTCTTCGTCAAGGATCACCCAACTCGGTCTGGTGGCTCCTCTCCGACAGCAGCTCGTGAAGTAAGATTTGCCAGGTGCCGCCGTAAAGCTGGCCCGGCCATAAAGCCACAGTACTTCCGGGTACTGCTTTCAGAATAAAGGTTTAAGCGCCGAACCAGTGACGCAATGTTCTGAATGCTTGAGCGTGTGTGTGTGTGTGTGAGTGTGAGTGTGAGTACGTTCGTACGCAGCAAGTGGCCAGAGTCGGTGTTGAGAGGGAAACACTCCTAAACCAACAGGAAAAACACGCATGTGAAGACAGAAAACTTCAGCTCTAAACGACATCACGGTGTTTTCCAAAGTTACGCTACTGATGCTAATCTGTTGTGAGGAGCAACCGTATAGTAGATTTTGGAGTTGTACTTCAATTCATTTTTACAGCGCATTATACTCTCGTGGTCTCCTGTTATACACACACAAACACATATATATGTATGGCTGGGTGGCAAAATAAATATGAAAAAATACAATAAAGCATAATTGTGTGTATAACTCGGTAAGTCAATAAGGCAGGTGAGTCACATTAAGTCAGCTCAACAGTATTAAGATAAAAAAGTGCTTTTGTTTTGAAGGGCGACTCGTGCGGGGAATTGATGCAGCTCGTGCTCTCCTCTGTCCGCGCGCTGCCCCTCGCTCTCCTTCGGCTGCTGGATGGGCACCAGCAAGCTGAGAGGGGGGAAAAAAACAAAAAAAAACACGACTATCAGATTTCGTTGCCGCCTCCGGATCCCCTCCCAGCGCCGCCGAAGGCAGCGGAGACACGGCGGGACTTAAGTGGTGGCTGAAGCTCCTTCCATTCTCATTTTCTTTCATTAAAAATACATATCGGCGTACATCTCTAAATAAATATGTTTAGATACGGCACAGAACCAGTTGCTGCCTGAACTTCAAGGGGACGCCTGAGTGGCGCGTGAGGTCTGGGTTACGCGCGAGAAACCTGGAGGGAGCTACGGAACATTCTGGAGTTTTACCACAGCTATCCCAATTTACATTATATTGTATGGGACCGACAATGGTGCACACTTCTCAAAGAGCAAAACGACACAGGCAAACCAGGAACAAACTCTGCAAGCTGCTTTTAGCTGTGGATTCTCTTCTTAATTACGAATAGGCCCTATGGAAATAATGAGCATTTCTTGGCCCTGTTGTCAGTTGATATAATTAACCTTTGTCCTGTCGAATAAGGTCACAGGTTGTTGGCTTTGCCGTAGCGTTTGTCTCAGCTACTTTCTTTCTCATGGTGCCGTGCGTCTTTAAGTCATTAGAAAGCTGCTGCCAGCCGTCACCTGTGTCTGACCGTTCACACGGAAAGCCTTCTAGGTGAAGACCAAATGACCATTAACACCCATTTAATCTGCCATGTTCCGCAGCCATTGGGCTAATTGCTGGCGTTGGGACAGAGGGGGATAGCGCCCCCCCCCCCCCCCGCCCCCATGACTATAAACAACACACTAATTACTGTCATCTCATAAAGTGTGTTTTGAGAAAGCAACTTTATGACACCATAAAGTGAAGCGGCCCTCTGCTAAGTATCTGTAAAGAGGCTTGAGGAGTGTGCCCCTGTCATCCAGGTCGATTAGGAAGAGGTGGGCAGATGATTTGCGGCCGTCTGCGTCGACGCGTCATAAATGGAGAAACGGATAATCAGTGCGAATGTGTCAACAAACAGGTAGAATTTCAAACGTTATTTCACTTTCTTTCATAGAATTAAGGACCTGTGTTATGTTTCGCTTTAGGGTCACTGTTACGGATGTCGCTGCTAATATTTGATCAGGTAAAATCCCCTCCGACATTATGGTGAGCCTGACAACCTTACGATTTGGTAAAGCCACTATTGTTAGGTATACCTCGGGTGAACCTGAAACATCTCAAATGAAGCTTCTCCACTAGTACCTACTCGGCTTTTAGCACCCACCGGGTTGGGGTTCATAGCAAGCTGAGCCGAGCCCGTGACTTGAAGTGTCATAAAAGCTAAACATTCAGGAGAACCCCGCCTAGTTGAAGAACACGGCACAGCAGATGTCTCATTTCATTATGTCTGTGATTATTCATTTTGGCCCATCTTTCTGTTAGGACCTAATTTTCAATAAAAAACAAAACATCTAAAATCCATCTAAGACCATGGCGAGGCAAGTAGAACTGAGTGTGCCTAAGCAGGCTCTAATGGAACACGCAAACAGTCATGTTCCTTCGGCTTTGACTGCTTGGAGAACTTCCCATGATGCACTTTTCCCGGCTCTACTCTCTTTTACTCTTACTGCCTTTGGCATTATTGTTATCAGTGACTTGTGTTTTCTCGTAAGTTTCAGCAAAATCAGTTGAATCCCATGCTCGAGAAGCCTTTTTGAAAGAGTATAGGATGAATAGATGGGAAACCAGAACCATGGGAAAATCCTACTGTAAAGTAACAGGGAGTCTTCTTTATCGTAGTAGAAGAAGAGGCTAACAGACTGATGATGAAGGCCAGGCTGAGTGACCCTTTGGACGACAGGGCTGTGTGAGAGAGACGTTAGTGGGTGGGAAGTTAGCCCGGGAACAAAAGCCCGTCGGTCAGGGGGAGAGGTCATACAGATGGTGAGAATGCTCACTCAGACATCTCGAGTACTGATGGGCAAACTGACCAGATGACCCCGTCAGACATTCACAGAGAAACGCACACAAATGCTCATACACACACACACACACACACACACACCCACAAACAAGCCGCACTCCCCAGTTCGCCGCGACCGCGCGTGTTAATAGGAAAAACAAAACTCCTCCCAGCACCCAGACAACACCCTAACTTCTAATGAACTCTCACAGCACACACAAACACATTCATCCAAACACACACACACACACACACACACATATATATGCACACACACACAAACACGGACAAAACCATCCCCTCCCCTTACATTCCTCTACTCCCTGCCCCCCAGAGAAGAGATCAACAGGAGATGAAAGGTGAAGACTTTTCATTTAAAACAGAGTTAAAAATTAAACAACAACAACAAAAAAAGTCCTAGAGTTTGGATTGATTAGCACCAAGATTGAGCGTAAAAAAAAACAAAAAAACTTGAAGAAATCCATCACTGCTGTGATAAATTTCGTTCGGCCGGTGTTATCACGACACATATTTTCAGCGATAAAAAAAGTTGTACTCTGCCTATGTGAGCAACTGCCAATTGACTTGAGCTGAGGGGCACAAAGGCAGAAGGGCTAATCATTAACCAGAGAGATTCTGCTCAGACAAAGATGTAGCACAAAAGGAGGGGGGGGTTCTTGATCTCCGAGGCCGGTTCACACTCAACTGGAAGCCGGTTCATGCTCCGCGCTGCTGAACCTGAACTGTTGCCGAATCTCTGCTCTCACACACAATCGTACTGTATATATATATCGCCGGCTTCCCTGGAGGGGGTCGGAAGCCCCCCCGAAACAAGACACGCATCAGCTAATGGGAGCCAATCTGCGTTGATCCTCTTTATTTCTTTTGCTTATGTGCTCTTGGGGCTCTTGAGGCTTTTCTGATCACAGAATTAGCTAAAATATTTGACAAAAATAACTGACCATTGACGTAATTAGTCGCGTTCATTAGTAGCAGAGCTTATTCGACTTTTACTGGCTGTGTATGAATATAAAGCGACAATGAATGATTGTTTTGTGTAGATCCCATTTGCATGTGCAGTGTAGGATGTCAGTTTAACATGTTAGTGAACCTCAAACATGAATGTTCAAGGAAGTCATAGTGAGGCTTTCTTGGGAGAATGTCAACATGTTGATTGTACATGATTGTTACGCAACTAAATTAAAAACACAATTTTGACTTCATACTATATTATTATGAACAAACAACTGAAAAAACAACTCAAAAAGTCATTTTTTTCTTTCTCAACACCTTTCTTTTGGTTTTATAAATTCTTTCTAATATCTCCATAATTTCAATACTCCTGTCACATTTTATGTTTTTTTTTTTTTTACTTTTGAAAGTCAGTTAAATTTATTTTCTGGCCCATTTTGCCTGAGGATACTAATAATTATGCATGCCTTGACGTAGGGTGTTGACCTCCCTCATTACACAGATACACATCACCTGCTATGGTCAAATCCATTATGCATTCAAGTTTGGATCGAGGAGTCAGAAAACAGGTATAAAATGATAATATGGTCAACATGCTCGCCTAATAATTGTACACACAGTGTTCCATCGTTTTAATATAAAGCACAACTTATTTTAGTTTGAAGGATTTATTAGGATAAAATAAAAAGGATCATTTAGTCTTTGTAAGATCTTCACAATAAGTAAATACAACTTCAGATCACATTTTGAACAAGCCAAAGCAAGATGTAAAAGCAGTGTGTGATGAAAAAAAAGTCTGAAATGTCGGGTTCTGGATGCAGTAACTTGAAGTAATCCTTTTTTCCTGATGATGTTACCAGTTTCTCACATTGTCATGGAGAAATGTTGCTTGAATTCGCTTGGGTTTCTTGCAATTATTTCTACATTTGGACTTTACCTTTGCTATTGCGACACCTTAATGGATTTCTTCAGTCACTGTCTTATAGATTTGTTTGTCTATGAAGGATCGAGTTCTGTTGAATGACCTGGTTTCTACTAAAGTG